ACTTTTTAGGATAGATCTAATATACAAGACCAAAAAGTTTAAAGTTCTCCCATTGGCTATCTAAGAAAGGCAAAAGAGTAAGAGTCTCAACTTACTCTCACAATGCGGGCGAAGGCTCGTGTGGCTTCTGGGGCTGCTCCGTCCCGCCGAACACTCCACGTGCTCCAAATACTCCTCCTTGCAGGCTGGAATATGGGCTTTCGTGTGGAGTGTAAGCCTTGACGGCTTAGAACCCTAACCCTAAAGGCTAAACCCTAGACCCTAAACGCCAGAGTTTATGGTGTAGGGCTTTGCGGTGTAGGGCCGTTCTGCAAGCAGGGTTTAAGAGTTAGGAGTTGGGGTTTAGGATCTGACAGGTTTAAGAAAAAACTTCGGGCGACTGCGCCAGCCCATGAACGTTGGCCTTTGTGCGGCGAGTTTCCGAGCCGAAGAACTTCCCGGTCCTTAGACCCCTGAGTACCCTAAACTGTGCAGGACTGTAAACCCATTAGACTTGCAACGAGCTTACGACAAAAAGCAACATTGAACACCCTGTAAAAACTTGTAACACCTAAAACCTTTACCTATCTATGTATATCTACATATCTATATATATCTATATATACACATTGTATATCTCACTCTCTCTCTCTCCTCTCTGTCTCTCTCTCTCTCTATATATATATATGTATTTGTACACACATACGTATGCTTACATGAACTTTTCATTTTTCGATACATATATGGGTATATAGATACGGATATATCTGCATCAATGAATGCCCGCGCCAAGGCTTCCACCCGGTGTCTCCTCGGTCTCAAACCTTTAGAGCTCTTAGGCTTCTATCTGCAGTCCAGCAAAACAAAACTATAAAACTTTCTGAGCATATTCAATCAAATCGCAGGCAGGAAGCCACAGCAAGAGATGTTGGGCTACAGGTCCGGTTTAGGGTTCAGGGTTTAGGGGTTAGGGGCAGAGTGGGCTTGGGCTTAGGGTGGTACTTGGAGGTTCATGGGTAGTTGTACGTGGGGTTATAAGTCCCCTGCTATGGGTTATAACTATAGTTACCTTGCTTATAACTACCCGTGAACCTCCAAGTATGGGTTGATGGCCCTGGAGGAATCAGTCAAGACTGCTGAACACTCCGCGCCTCGCCATCGAAAACGATGCTGTCGCAAAGCCTGGTGGTATAAGACAACGACAGGAAATCTCTTAATTTCTTGAGGAGTATGCCTTCTGTATGATGGAGGGCCCTTTGGATGAATTGAAGTATCTTCCTTTTTAAAAAGGTGAAATCTGTCAACATACACGGCTTTGGTACATCACAAAACTCCTCAAGCATCCTTTAACAACAGTTCCAGGGTTACGCATCTACCTGTAGCCCCCGAATCCTACTCTTCTTTAACAGCAGTATAAAGAAGCCCTAACACAGAACGAAGCAAGGGTGTTAGTTGGGCTACTGGTAGGCGTGGGGTGAGCGGCTCAGTACTCAGGCGAACGAGAAGCTTCATGCTCCCTAAACTTGGCCTAAGATGAAGGGGCCTTGTGCTTAGGGTATAGGGTTTCGGATTGGCGTTCCGGCTCTTGCTAGATGTTCACCATCGTGCTCGTGCTCGGACGACCTCATCTCCCTAAACCCTAAACCCTAAACCCTAAAACCTAAACCCTAAAAGCCCTAAACCCTAAAAGCCCTAAGCCCTAAACCCTAAACCCTTCCTCTTCTTGTGCGCCTTGGTACTAAGGTTGCACTGTGCGCCTCTTCAAAGGCCCGAAAATCGTTCTGGCTGCCCTTAACCCTAAACCCTAAACCCGAAACCCCTAAACCCTAAACCCCTAAACCCCTAAACCCCTAAACCCGGTTCCTCCGGTGTAAGCGCGCACTGCTGCAGTTGATGTCGAGGTGTGGCTGGAGAGCTTGACCGGATCGGTGCCGCCGACTCAAACTTCCACGGCGATCGTCTGTCTGGTGCTTAGTAGGGAATGGGGGAATGGGTTATAGAGACTACTATAAGGGACCTTATGGGACTACCATAGGGCTTGCAGTTTGGAATCCCTGCCATCTCTGCATCGGCGGAGATTCAAAAAGTGCATCTTTCAGGCTCTTCGCCTGCAAGGCCTTTTTTTGTTTTTTCCTAAACCCTAAACCCTAAACCCTAAACTAATCCCTCAACCCTAAAAATTGTTTTTGTTGGGGATCGCCGCATGCTTCGCGCTCGCCGGCATGCAGGCAGGACTCAGGGTTGCTAAGGGTTTAGGGTGTAGGATTACCATTTAGGGTTTAGGGTTTAGGGTTTAGGGTTTAAGGTTTAGGATTACCCTAAGGGTCCATGTACTTAAATAGTATATACATTGGCCCTAAAGTACCTATATAGGGACTACATGAAGGCCAAAGTATACACTATTTGGGTACATGGACCCCTAGGATTAGGGATTGCGGATTGAGTGCTGAGGACTGGGCCCGTTTGAGTTTGGGCTCCATGTCTAAGGTAGAACCCGCGGGCCCCTAGTATGGGCCCTTGACCCTGGGACCCCAATATACCTACTATATACCCTATATATACCCCTAAGGGACCCTAGAACCCCCCTAAGGGTCATCATGGGGGTTGGAGTTAAACTCCCACACCAAGGCCAGATACTTAAACCCGCAAACCTGAATGGCTATTTGGAGGGTCGGGAGACTTAGAAAGTAGGTAATAAGTAGACTTGTAAGTACCCTAAAAGGAGCCCTAATTGGGGTTATAGTACTTATAAGTCTATAGAATAACCATTTACTAAGTCCCCCGACCCTCCAAGTAGGTCTAGGTTTGACGTTCATCCATTAAACCAAGCCTGGACCCCAAAGAACCTACCTTTCTAAGGCTCCTTACTATGATTTCTTTATATGAATCCTTAGAAAGGTAGGTTCTTTGGGGGTTAAGGAAGACCCTAAACCCTAGAACCAAGATGCTATTCCCTTTGAATGTGCACGATTCGCAGGGTACGTCCGAATGTGGCACCCGTTTCGGTGAGCAACTTATGAAGTCTTCGCGGACCCTAGTCGCAGAGGGTGTCCAGAGCATGGTGGAGGAGCTTGATAGGGGTCTGTTGTTGTTGCTTTACTTATATGGGCTCAGGGTACTTCTAGCTTACCCAGTAGCCCCTGAACTGTGAGAGTGCCCTTTTCCAAGTATTGGGCTTTAAGAGGGGAATCCCAAGAACAAAGAGCAAAAGTGTCCTTCAGGGAACCTGCGTGGGACCCCTAAAGCCCTGTACCCTAAACCCCTAAACCCTAGCCCTAAAATCCAAACCCTCAAACCCTAAACCCTGAACCCCTAAACCCCAAACCCTGAACCCTATAACCCTAAACCCTAAACATCCCTGAACACTGAAGCTTCTGGCCTCCCCCAAAAACACCCTAAAAGCCCCTTAGAGCTCCAGCTTTTTGGTCAGGGTTTAGGCTTCCATGTTCTCGGCTTTCAGCGATTTGGAGTTTAGGGCTTTGGGTTTAGGGCTCTTTGGGTTTAGGGTTCTGGGTATTGGGTTTAGGGCTCTTTGGGTTTAGGGTTCTGGGTATTGGGTTTAGGGCTCTTTGGGTTTAGGGTTCTGGGTTTAGGGTTTAGGGTTTAGGGTGTAGGGTTCTGGGTTTAGGGTTTAGGGTTTAGGGTGTAGGGTTCTGGGTGCTGGGTTCTGGGTTTAGGGTTTAGAGTGTAGGGTTTTGGGTTCAGGGTTTAGGGTTTAGGTCTGATGCTTCAGGGCTCCGTCCCCAGCCCGTTCTAATCAAGGCCAAAAGGCGTAACAGTGCGCAACGCAGCCATGCTGGTTCGGTTCTTGCCTGAGACACTCGCATGTGTCTAAGTTTATTCGGAAGGCAGGCGGGAGGGCGGGGCGGTGCTTTATTCAGGGCTGCCTGAAATCGAGGGGCCTCTCTTGTAAGATGTCTTCTGGGCTTCTTCAGCTGCTCAAAAACCCTAAACCCTAAACCAAGCCACACTTTAGGTGTCTTCTGGGTTTCTTCAGTTGCTCAGAAGCCACAGTTTAGGTGTTGAGGGATCCTGGCGACACCTGCGAGCCTCGGGCGTGATAGGTATGACACGTGTTCTTCAAGCGGGCGATGGTTGGGGTAGAATCTGGGTTAGGTTTCTGTGAGGTAAACCCTAAACCCAAAGATCTAAACCCCTAAACCCCTAAACCCCACTTGGAGGTTCATGGGTAGTTATAAATGAGTTTTATGTAGGGTAACTATACTTATAACCCATATGAGGGGACTTATAACCATACTTATAACTACCCATGAACCTCCAAGTGTGGGCGTTCCCCAGGCTTTCAGGCTTTGGGCCTCAGGGCTCAAGGTTTGCAAGGCTTAGGCGTAGGCTGAGGGTCCTGCAGAGCTTATGTGCATAGAGATCCGAACTGAAGGGAAAGGGTTTAGGGTTCAGGGTTTAGGTTTTTTTTTCTCACCTCTTTTCCACCCGCCTGGTAAGCTAGGTCGAATGGGTTTAGGGTTTGGGGTTTAGGGTTAAGCTGAGCCACAAAGTGACTCAGAAGATCGTAAACCTACGACCCTATAAATCGTGTTACACGTGTCCTTGAAGAATTCGTAGGAATCTGTCCAATTTTGGGACCAAGCCCCAGAACCTCTAAACTTTGAGACGGAAATCCAAATCCGCAACGCCTATACTATAACACCATCTGACAGGACCCCTTCTGGCCCTAAATAATGACATTTAGGGTCTAACACCGGGCACCAGAGTGGTCCGGCTAATGGAGGTACGCTCATAGTCAAAGTAGGGTTTGGGGGAAACAAGTGTCTTGTAGTAGAATGTACGGGAACTATACTTGTATGCTTTTTCTCGCACCAGCAGTTCTGACCTTCGTAGTCAACCCTAAAACAAAGGTTAAACCAAAGCTCTAAGTGAAGCCTCCAAGCCTAATCGCGAAAACAAACTCTCAAAGCTCGAGGAATTCTAGAAATTAATCCCCACTGCACCCGTCACCTTTCAACGCATGCTGGTCATGCTCGTCAAAGTCTGAGTCCCCCTGCTGCTCTTTCGGCCCCGTCGTCGGCGCGTGGTGCTCTTCTCCTGGCTTAGGCTTCGGGATCTTAGGGATTGTTGGGGGCGACATTGGGCTTTTGGGGGTCGCCGGTTCAAGACATAGCACCGAAACCCTAAACCGAAAACAGAAAAACCCTAAACTAGGTAGAAGAATAGCACCGAAACCCTAAACCGAAAACAGAGAGAACCCTAAACTAGGTAGAATAAGAGTCTTCTTCTTCTCGGCTCCGGGGTGTTTATTACTGCCCCTATAGTAGACCTTAAAATGAAAGTTGCCGTGTTGAGCCACCAGGCAATGGCCAGAACTAGGGTTTAGGGTTTAGGGTTTAGGGTTTAGGGTTTAGGGTTTAGGGTTCAGGAAACCAAGCAAGACCAAGTGAGAAGAAGCAGCCAAATCCGCCAAATACGCCACAGCCCACTGCGTCAAGGGCTTGTCGCTACAGGCAACTCCACATGGCTCTGAAAGCCCTTCGAAACATCCCCTCAACTCTGAGCCCCAAACCCTAAAACCTAAACCCAAACCCCTGAACCCGAAACCGTCGAGCAATTCCTGTTTAGGGTTTAGGGTTTGGTCCATCTGCATCAATTGCTCAACTTGTACATCGTCTCGGCAGGAGGCCCGGATTGTCACAGCTGCTGCAAGGTTCTCTCAAGGTTCTCTTTAGAAAAGTTCTCCTCGAGGATGTGTTGAGCCCGTGCTCGGGCCCAGCCAACTTCATTGGAAAGCTGTGCACCAGGAACTCCCAGTGCCTTGTGGAGCTTTTTCAACCAGAGCACCGTCATTTTGGGAAAGCCGTGCAACGCAGCGTATTTGAGGAGGGTTTGGCCCATTTCCCGGTGTATTCGACGTCGGACTCTAAACCTGAAACCCTGAATAAAACCCTAAAGCCCTTAAACCCTGAACCCTTGAACCCTCAAGCCCCTCAAAACCCTAAATCAAACCCTTCACCCGCAAGCCGCCGCCAGAACCCTAAACCCCAAACCCGAAGACACGCCCCAACTGTCTGGTGCTTAGTCGGGAATGGGGGAATGGATCCCTATATAGTAGTCCCTATAACCCATTCCCCCATTGCCTACTAAGCACCCCCTAAACCCTAAACCCTAAACCCCTAAACCCTAAACCAGACAGCCAAGAACCGTGAAGACCTTGCTAAGTGAAGCAGCCCTAGGCTCCGAATCGCAGTGTACCTTGTCACTGGGTCTATGTGCCCAAAGGCTATGTACATACTTAGGCGTTAGGGTTTAGGGTTTAGGGTTTAGGGCTTAGGATTTAGGGTTTAGAGAGGGTAGACTTTGGCCTCCGAATACCTAGAAAAGGCTACTTTGCGGCCAAAGTATTTGGGCACACGGACCGAAAGGGCCTCGTTATAGCGAACCCCAAACCTGCAAAACCTAAGCCCAGGGTGTGGGGTTTAGGGTTTAGGGTTTAGGGACATCCAACAGTTTGTTGAATCCTATCTACCGCAACAAACCTTGAACCCAACCGTAGCTCGAAACCACAGAGCCAAATCCCACCCCCAAAGGCCCGATAGACCATAGATTAATAAACCTTCCTACATTAAAAGCGCCCTAAACTCTAAACCCTCAACCTTAATACCCCAGAACCCTAAACCCTAAACCTTAGTTTAAGGCCCTTGAACAGAAGGGGTTTACTCCGAGGCTACTTTCACCCTAAAGTCTAAACATGTCTAAACAATAAACCCTGAGCCTTACAGTAGGGCTTATGGGGTCTAGGGTTTAGGGCATTACACCTTCAACCCAGGCCCCGATCCTAAACCCTGTCCCTAAACCCCCCGAACCCCTAACCCCTCAACCCCTAAACCCTAAACCGACATTCTACCAGAGCTCCATGGTTATATATATATATATACATATATATAGGGATTTATAACGTAAAGGAATATACTACTTACTTACGCAATACTATTAGAACCACCTCCCTGTATACTCTAGGATCTTATACTCCACTCCGAGAACTCTGGGGCCTGCAACTCCATTTCCTCATCGTCCTCCTGCATCAGCTCCTTCGGTTTGGAGCTTGGGTCTAACTGTAGAGGGGTTTAAGGTTTAGTGTTTAGTTTTGGTTTAGGGTTTAGGTTTTAGGGTTTAGAGTTTAGGTTTTAGGGTTTAGGGTCCTTATACTGATTGCAGAATACGGTCTTAAGGTCTATGGAGCTTATGGTTTAGAGCTTAAGGCGTGTAGGGTTTTGGGGTTTGTCATGGTCTAGGCATAGCGGGACTGCAAGGGGATATCACTGCTGGTTATTGCGACCAGTAGATTCGCCCCCACCGCTATTCTTCAACATCATTCCGTGTTTGGGCCAACTTTAAGGAATTCCGTCATCAGGAGACAACGCTAAACCCTCAATGCTGAAGCCTCAACCATAAACCCCCAACCCCTGAACCCGAAACCCTAGACTCTAGACCCTAGTCCCTTCTAGCCCTAAAGCGCCACCCTTCCCCAATCCTCAGGTCTACATACCTCATGGAAGCCTTATAGAAGCCTTATATACCCTAAACTCCCCACCTGTAGTTTCCAACCCCTAAACCCCAAAGCCCTAAAGCCTAAATCCTAAGCCCCTAAAGCTTAATCCTAAACCCCTAAATTGCAAACCCCCAAACCCCCCAACCTCCCAAACCCCCAAAACCCCTAAACCCTAAACCCCTGAACCCCAGGGTTCCGGGTTCCTTGGACAAGGATCTCCACAGGCTGCTTGGTCTCTCGGTTGTAGCTCCGATTTTTAGTCTATTTTAACTGACAATCCCTATAACGGTAACTACCCACCTGAAAATGCCCTACTTGGAGGTTCATGGGTAGTTGTAATTATAAGTAGGGTAACTATAGTTATAACCCATATTACGGGACTTATAACCCCACTTATAACTACCCTTGAAACTCCAAGTACACCCTGTTTTCATCCAAATGCAGAACAGCGGTGGCACCTCAACGAGGGCATCGCGTGTGAAGACATCGAGGTAGCCAACCTTCAGGGTTTTTTGGCTTACCCAAGGGTCCAAAGGACGAAACAATCATGTACTTGGGTTACGGATAATGGTTTTGTAGGTTAGTATTCAGAAGAGTATATATTTATTAGGCACTTGGACCCTTAGGGTGAGGGTTTAAATCAACACTGACACTGTTCCTACAGCTCTCAAGGATTTTAGGGGGGAGTAAATCCTAAACCATAAACCCTTAAACCTGAATCCTAAACCCGTCCATTGTGCTTACCCATCAAGGCTTAGCCTAGGGCTCCGATCAAGGCGTAGACTCTGCCTTCATAGGGCTTCTGCAGGATCTTTCAAGCGGGTTTTAGGGTCCATAGGGCATCAGTTTTTCGATTGCATTTGGGGGATGGTGTAAGATTATGAAAACTGGGTACTTGGACCTATGGCTGACATCTGTGAGCACCATCTCGACGCTCAGAGGCTTGTTGGGCAAGGTTTTCTGTCTTTGCCCCGGTCACCAAGAATTTCAGCAAGTGAACCTAAACCCTAAACCCTAAACCGAACCTTAGGCAAGTTGTCATAAGCAGATTGCGCTTGTGCACGTATCGTTGGCGGCTGCTAGCCGCCTTGTAGTTGAGGACACAACTGTTGAGGTTTAGGGTTTAGGGGTTTCGGGTAGTTTTTAGGGATGTAAGCTTTAGGGTTTATCAGACCGCTGCTTCGGGCAATTCCGCAATTTGTGTGTTGGTGCCGCTGCGTGTCTGTTTGCTTTTTGTTCGTTGCTTGGTTATGTATCCGCTTCCTGCATGCATGGTTTTGTTTTTTTAATTTCAAACTAAATGTAAAGGATAATCGAGATTGTATGAACATTTCAGGACTTGTCTTTTTGTGATAAGAATCTGTAACCCCAATTCGGACTTGTTCTGTGCAAATGACGATTTTTAACCACTCCGATAATGTGGTTTCAGGATGAACTTACATTTTGATTTGCGCAATTGATAATGATGGGTGTCCATACACAAAGAAAAAGATGGGGACTAGAAACAATTACATGCCACGACACGCCTCGAAACTTCAACGTGCGTTCTGCCGTCAGCATCATCCCAAGCACCGAGATACTGGCTCACAAGCTTAGGCTGAGTTTTCAAGCCCGACGAAGGTTCCAAAATCGCATTTTACGGCAAGCCTGCTTTCCTACAGCTCTGATTTCTCATGGTTTTGACCTATGCCAACCAGCGATAAACAACAATTCCATTCAACTTGGCGGTGCTCACCACAAGCTGTAGATTCTGGAACCTGGCTGTTCCGTGCTTGCATGGCGCTTTGGAAATGTTCTGCCGACATAGGCTTGTGGGCCACGGCTGCCCTGGCCACAGTCTCGGCCACGTGGCCGGTATAGTAGGTGTTGGAGCCACTCATGATGAAGAGGAGGCTGCGGAACGGATATTTTTCCTGCTTTATCAGCCAGGCGTGGAACTTCTTTGCGGCCGTGGTGATCTCCTCTTGAATTGCCGGAGTGCTGGCTGCTTCAGTGGGACCGGTCTTCTGCTTTTTCACGTCCCGGAACGAGCCGGTGTCTCGCTGAGCTTGGCTGCCTTTACACAAGTTAAGGGCTTTCAAGATCGGGGCTTAGGGGTTTAGGGGTTTGGGGGTTTAGGGGTTTAGGGGTTTAGGGGTTTAGGGTTTAGGGGGTATGACCTTAGGACCTTCTTCACGATGGGCCAGACCCTGTTTATCATCACATTGCCGATCAGATCAGCGACCTGTGACTTGCGGGTATGTATTGTCAAGCTTCGTGGGTTGTACAGGGTATATAGGGCTTTAGAACTCCAAGGTTCAGTTGTGCGGCAAGGATCTTTAATGCTTCGAGACTCACACAGAGATTCTGAGTTTCTTGTGGCGGGTCACGTCGTGCAGACAGACCCTGGGTTCCTAGCTGGTGTATGCTAGGTAGAAGGCAGACGGCAGGTTCTCTAATCAACTTAAACAGTTGTTAAGGCCCCCATATTCAGCCCAAGTATTGAGCCCGAGCTCAAGAACCCCACGATCTGAAACCCTGCGAAAAGCGAAATCCCAACATCAGATGTAAAGCCTTGTAAGAGGAATGCGCCCTGTCTTGAAACCCCCAACGAGAAAGCAAACCCAACCCTCCGCCCCCCAGGCGAGCCGTGCGTAACCGAACGGGAAGGAGGTCATTGTGATGTGGCGCGATACTCTGCCGAACCAGGTACAACCTCACCGAGCTAGGTTTCGCTGCTCAGACTCGAGAGCCCTCGATTTCTTTAGGGCCTTGAGTTTAGTGTCGGTTTATAAACAATATTGTTCTTTCTACAATTATGTTGAAGACGGTGGGCCTCGCCCTTGAAGGCGATTGTCACGGGCTTTCGTGCTTAGGTTTGGCTCCTTGCTTCTGTTGGTGTTGGTTCGGTGTCGTTTTGTTGAGGGAACTTTTGGGCATAGTACCTGGACCCTTCATACTAGACCCGACATGCCTATAAGTTGGGGCCGGTGCATGTTTGAGGGTACACGGAGGGTCCTGGTATAGTTCGGTCCCTAAGCCCCCCAAACTTTAAATGCTAGGGTTTAGGGTTTAGGGTGAGATCCAGTTGCTTTGGGCATGGCTCTGTCCGAAGGCTTGCAGGTCGGACCTTAGCATATTTTACAATGTAAGAGGAACCGTAAGAAATAAGATTGGTAGTTGTTCAGCTCGGTTCTTAGGATTTCAGGGCTACAGTAAGGACCCAAACATGTTTGAGATTCCCGGCCAATGTAGGGGCCTGGCGGCTTCAGCTTTTGACTTGATTTCGACTGAAGTGCTTGCTCCAATAGCGACTGGTCTTCTCACCATGTTCGAGCAGGCTCTTTTTGCATTTCGTAGTAGATTTCCGCCGGGCTATTTGGGCTTGGGGCTTGGAGCTTGGATTTAGCGGTCAGGGTTTCCATCGGAGAGGGCAGGGGTTTGGGGTCGAAAGCTCCGGCCTTTAAGCCCTAAGCTGTCCTGAACCCTAGTTCCCCCTAAACCCTGAACCCTAAACCCTAAACTTGGCCCCAAACCCTAAACCCTAAACCCTAAACCCTACCCTAAACCCTAAACTTGGCCCCAAACCGTAAACCCTAAACTTGGCCCTAAACCCTAAACCCTAAACTTGGCCCTAAACCCTAAACCCTAAACTTGGCCCTAAACCCTAAACCCTAAACTTGGCCCAAACCCTAAACCCTAAACCCTAAACCCTAAACTTGGCCCTCAACCCTATAAACCCTGAACCCTAAACCCTTAACACTAAACTTGGCCCTCAACCCTAAACCCTGAACCCTAAACTTGGCCCTAACCCTAAACCCTAAACCCTAAACTTGGCCCTAAACCCTAAACCCTAAACTTGCCCCTGAACCCTAAACCCTAAACTTGGTCCAAACCCTACACCCTAAACCCTAAACTTGGCCCTAAACTCTGAACCCTAAACCCTAAACCCTGAACCCTAAACCCTAAACCCTAAACTTGGCCCTAAACCTAAACCCTAAACTTGGCCCTAAACCCTAGACCCTGAACCC